TCTTGAGAAGAAGATTTTTAAAGATTTTCCTATATATTCCTATGTAAAACTTTGATCGCCCATTGTGGCCCCACCCGACCCCCGGGGGTCATAATTTGAACAAATTTGAATCTACACTATCTGAGGATGCTTCCATATAAATATGACCAATCATGGCTTTGCTGTTCTTGAGAAGGGGGGGGGGGGGTTATGAATTGAACAAATTTGAATCTACATTATCTGAGGATGCTTCCATTTAAATATGACCAATCATGGCTTTGCTGTTCTTGAGAAGAAGATTTTTAAAGATTTTTCCTATATATTCCTATGTAAAACTTTGATCGCTCATTGTGGCCCCACCCGACCCCCGGGGGTCATGAGTTGAACAAATTTGAATCTACACTATCTGAGGATGCTTCCATTTAAATATGACCAATCATGGCTTTGCTGTTCTTGAGAAGAAGATTTTTAAAGATTTTTCCTATATATTCCTATGTAAAACTTTGATCGCTCATTGTGGCCCCACCCGACCCCCGGGGGTCATGAGTTGAACAAATTTGAATCTACACTATCTGAGGATGCTTCCATATAAATATGTCCAATCATGGCTTTGCTGTTCTTGAGAAGAAGATTTTTAAAGATTTTTCCTATATATTCCTATGTAAAACTTTGATCGCTCATTGTGGCCCCACCCGACCCCCGGGGGTCATAATTTGAACAAATTTGAATCTACACTATCTGAGGATGCTTCCATATAAATATGACCAATCATGGCTTTGCTGTTCTTGAGAAGGGGGGGGGGGGGGTTATGAATTGAACAAATTTGAATCTACATTATCTGAGGATGCTTCCATTTAAATATGACCAATCATGGCTTTGCTGTTCTTGAGAAGAAGATTTTTAAAGATTTTTCCTATATATTCCTATGTAAAACTTTGATCGCTCATTGTGGCCCCACCCGACCCCCGGGGGTCATGAGTTGAACAAATTTGAATCTACACTATCTGAGGATGCTTCCATATAAATATGTCCAATCATGGCTTTGCTGTTCTTGAGAAGAAGATTTTTAAAGATTTTCCTATATATTCCTATGTAAAACTTTGATCGCCCATTGTGGCCCCACCCGACCCCCGGGGGTCATAATTTGAACAAATTTGAATCTACACTATCTGAGGATGCTTCCATGTAAATATGACCAATCATGGCTTTGCTGTTCTTGAGAAGAAGATTTTTAAAGATTTTTCCTATATATTCCTATGTAAAACTTTGATCGCCCATTGTGGCCCCACCCGACCCCTGGGGGTCATGATTTGAACAAACTTGAATCTACACTATCTGAGGATGCTACCGTATAAATATGACCAATCATGGCTTTGCTGTTCTTGAGAAGAAGATTTTTAAAGATTTTTCCTATATATTCCTATGTAAAACTTTGATCACCCATTGTGGCCCCATCTGACCCCCAGGGGTCATGATTTGAACAAACTTGAATCTACACTACCTGAGGATGCTTCCACATAAGTTTCATATTTTCAAGCACAGTGGTTCTTGAGAAGAAGACTTTTTAATGATGCCATTAATTTTTCATGAATTCTTAATTATCTCCCCTTGGAAGAAGGCGTGGCCCTTAATTTGAACAAACTTGAATCCCCTTCACCCAAGGATACTTTGTGGCAAGTTTGGTTGAAATTGGCCCAGTGGTTCTGGAGAAGAAGTGGAAAATGTGAAAAGTTTACAGATGGACAGACGGACAGAGAGACAGACATACAGACAGACTACAGACAAAATGTGATCAGAAAAGCTCACTTGAGCCTTCGGCTCAGGTGAGCTAAAAACTATAATTTGAAATCTCAATATTTTAAAATTGCACAATATCCTGAAAACATGACAAATCAAAATAAAATCAACACCTAAAATGTCATGACACTTTAGAATTTGAATACAAAAAGAGTTCGAAAGTTTATAATAACTGGTGCAATAAAAAGTATTACATGTAACAACTCGGTGAAAAAAAAGAAATGAATTTTCTCTAACACTACACAGAAAATCATTGACCCTCAAGCTCCGAGTTCTGAAAGCTCACAGCAGTCGTGCTGATACAAGGATTAATTTCCGACATTATTGCTTTATTAACACACAAGTAATGACTGAAAACCACAGCTTATTTGCTTCATTACTGTTGAAAAACATGCAAGAACATGTTTTACTGACAAAAAAATCAATTTCACTTTTATATTCCCAATCCTTGCGGCCTAATGGCCACTCACGATGATCCCAGGGAAATTAACGCAGCTATATATTTTTGTTACACTGTCATCCATATCATAACAAATCCCCAAGGAGGTGTTAGAAGTTTGATTAATCTGCGTAATGATAGGGAAGTCGGAGTGCATGAGATGAAGACGAGGAACTAGTCATTATAAATCACTGTCTACATGGTCTAAAATCTAATTTTGTTGGACTTTCGGGGACAAAAGACAATATTTTTTTCTGCTGATGTGCCATTAATCTTCAATACTGCTGTCTCTAAATTGGAAAATTTTTACGAACTTTCACCAACACACTTTTGTTTGATTAGAGCAAATAAGACTACAACTTTCATTGCTTTTGAAAATAAAACACAATTTTTATATCTGTCAAGAGAGTTGGACACTGATGTACAGTATATCTCTACCTTCTTTTCATCTCCTAAAGAAAACTTTGATCAAAAGATCACCCAATATAACAAGATAATGTGATTACCTTTTTTAGATTTCTGTTTGGCTGTGATGCCCCTATCCCCCCCCCCCCTTCCAAAAAAAAATAAACAAATAAAGAAGAAGTCTGTGAGTGAATGCTCACTAGTAACACCCCCGCTCTGATGTGAATATACACTCTCATGTTGAAATCAAATTCACACAAAAATGAATACCACCATTTGACATGCCTAAACGCAGAGTGTGCAAAAATTTCAAGCATATCTGCCCTGAGTAGTTGCTGAGAAAACTGTGATGAAAATTTGGTACAGACAGATGCATGGATTAACAGGAAGTTGACATTGGATTTGAACAAAACTGAACCCCACCATATGGCATGCCTAAACTGAGAGTGTGCTAGAATTTCAATCATCTGCGTTGAGTAGTTGCACTAGCAAAACTGCGACAGAAATTTGGTATGGATAAACAGGAAGTTGACATCAGATTCAAACAAAAATGAATCCCACCATATGGCATGCCTAAACAAAGATTGTGCTAAAATTTCAAGCATCTGCACTGAGTAGTTGCTGAGAAAACTGTGATGAAAATTTGGTACGGACAGACGCACAGATAAACAGGAAGTTGAAATCGGATTTGAACAGAAATGAATCTCACCATACGGCAAGCCTAAACAAAGAGTGTGCTAAAATTTCAATCATCTGTGATGAGTAGTTGCTGAGAAAACTGCAACGAAAATTTGTTACCAACAGACACATCTACAGCAGGGCTCGAAATAATTGATGGCCAACTGGTCTGGGGCCAGTGAATTTTCAATCTGGGCTAGTACATTGCAGAGAGCATGTGCCCTTTGGGTCAGCATTTTTTATGCATAATAAAATTCATTCACAGCCAGGCTAGTTAACTTGACAGGGTTGTGTGTCCCAACTTCTGCTGTTTCTTGTTTTGTTGTACTTCTAAGTATCACAGTATAAAAAAAATATTGCTATTATCATTATGGTTTTGGGCCATTCTTTTTAAAATCTACTGGCCCAGTGGGACAGTGAAAGTACTAAGCTGACCAGTAAAAGTTTAAGGCAATAGCCAGAGTGACCAGTAAACAAAAATAATTATTTCTAGCCCTGTACAGCCAATTTAAGTCTGAATATCAGCCCTTTCCCCTTGCCAAAATATTGTGGCTGTTCCTAAAGGCTTGTTGAAACCTGTGTTTTTTATAAAAGGGACTTTACACTTTTGATTGTGATGGCCATAGAGCAAATCCTATAATGCATTCTGTGCCAAAATTAGAAACTCTTTTTCATCGATGTGAAAAATATGGTATGCAATGGTACCACATGTATACTCATGATAGCTAGATTCAAAGGACTAAATGTACTTCGCCTTTTGACTAACATTAGTGCATTCCTGTACATGTACTTTTTCATACATATCATCATGCAAAATAAAAATTATAGTACACCAAAATACTGAAACAGTTTCCAAAATTTAGATTTTGTTACACAGTACATGTCCCATGTTTGCACTAGACCTCAATGTGTTCACTGTCAACTGATAATAATTATTGGCTGCATGAAGCCATGGTATGAGGATCAATTTTGCAAATAAATTTTAAAAAGTCATGAATATACACTGATCTGCTTGAAAACAGATTTTTTCCCCATTTATTGTCACCTTGTATGACTTCTTTCAAGCCTGAATCATGTTAACTCTATACAAAACTGTGTTTTCTCTTAACAAATACAAGAGTATAATGTTCCATGACAGCATTTATTAAGTAGAGGCTCCACACAGACAGACAAGAAAAGTGATTGCTTGATCTGATCAGAATGATAAAGAGTAAACCAGTCACATGCAGAATAGAGAGGAGAAATATGACAAATCCAGACAAATTTCTCCACTGAGGAAGATAATGGATAAAGACATAACCATGATTGCAACACTCTAATCTGGCTATAAATAAAAATTAATTAAGTTTCAAAATGTTTATGCACTTTTTCTTCTAATCAGAAATTTTGATGTGGAAAAGTCTTATTCTAGATAGGATCTGATTTTGACACAGTAACTTGCCCAAGGGACAGTGCCTAAAAATTGTAAATGTTTTTGTCAAACTCTATGGCACTGTCACAAGCCATAGGTTTTCAACATGTTCAAATCTACTTCTGTATAACTCTTTGCAGTGGTGGCTAATAAAACTGTGACAATGCCTCTTATATCTTATAATCCATCATCCATCAATACAATGTTACTTGATGCTTGAAACAAAGTGACCAATTTATTAAACTCTAGGCTGTCCTGAATTTGACTTCGATATTATTGAAGACCACCTACCGACTGCAGATACTTCAGTTCCGATTTACACATTCGCTGCAGCTTGTTAGCTCCTTTGATATGACCAAGTTCTTTGGCAAGATCTATGAATTTCTTGGCACAATCAATGTATTGATCAAGCAAGGCAGAGTTGTCTTCCCCTGAAGAATCCTTCGGCTGCCTCTCTGCCATTCTGGAAAAACCTGCATCAACTGAAAAAAGATGTTTTTAATTATAAATCAATATCAGAAAGGATTTATATCATAATTTTAGGACATATTCAAATGAAATTAATGTATACTGACTCTAATTCTATGATACTGTATGATTAAAGTACAATTTTCACAAGTTCTGCAAAAACAGTATAGTCAATGCCATTTCCATATTTTAAAACCAAGCCCCTATATGTATTAATCCTTTCTTTGCCATTAAATACCATCATTTTTCAATTTCAAAGAATCTGACATGCCTTTTTATTTTAATCAATGTATTAAGAATTAAAAATCTGATCTTAAAAATATTTCGTTAGATTTCTCACTATATTAAGTTGATAATAGTTTAATACAAGAGTTAAGTTCAAACAATTCAAAGCCAAACTATTCTAGCTAACTTGAATTGAAATTCATAAATATTTTGGTATACAAATCTATATATATCTAGGACCATTCAACATTGTTCAAATTGAATCGTAAGAAAAAAAATCCATTGTCCAACAAAATTTTTGGAAAACCCTGGTGCATGTGCATTAATTTTTTTCTTTGTGTAATTCATTGCATGCCTGATAAACTTAAAGCATTTTCTTCACATTGAACAGAGAAGTTATTTAAAAACAAAATCAAAGATTCCAGATTTCAATATAGCTTCCATTCAGACTGGAATAAGGGTAACAGGAATCTGGTATTAGACATACCAGTGTTTGATATACAGAGTTGTTTACCTAGCTACCAATAAAACTCCCACACCACTTTTGGTCCAGGGGAATGGGTCATGAGGTGGTGTATTGAAGAATTTAGGAAGAAAATTTCTCGTTTTCTGATGTGTATCACCATTAAACACTAATCTCGATTCCTGAGATCAGAGACACACATTTATATTGTGTTATTATACTTTCATGTTAAATACTAAAATCTGATTGGTTTAGACGCATTTAACAATCCCTAATGTTACCCTCAGCATTAGCAACACACTTGACAACGGGTAACATTACGAAAATATCACATGCGTTCAAATCATGCGCGTATGGTTCACCTTAGAATTCTCAAAACGTCGGTTGTGCGTTTGAAAGAAGCTGAATAAACGATGTCAATTAAAGCTTGCATCCGATGTAACTTACTTGAAAACAACAAACGACAGACGAAACATCCTTGCAAGTGCAAACTTTAGATGATAAAGGACTTTTTGAGTATCAAACAAACAATAAAGATGTTAGTAAATCTTTTCTGAAGCTTTCTTATTGAGAAAAATAGAAGCGGGGAGTTTGAAAGCTTTCTTAGCGTGAACTTAAAGACGATCTCCGAATTTTTTTTATGACATCCGAAATCAATAAGACATTCAGTATAATAAAATAAATAGTGCACATTTTTGAGGGTAACAGTTGAAATTGACACCCCTCGAATAACCATTGTCAACCTCCGCTGATGCGTCAGTTGACAATGGTTTTCCTTGGGGTGTCAATTTCAACTGTTACCCTCAAAAACGTGCACTATTTATATAATAGTATACACTTATTTCATGACTACGAGGGGAACAGTCAAACTGTTGTCCCGAGGTAATGGGGAAGACCTGGGAAACTGTTGCCCGAGGCCGAAGGCCGAGGGCAACAGTTTCCCAGGTCTTCCCCATTATCGAGGGACAACAGTTTGACTGTTTCCCGAGTTGTCATGAAATAAGTGTTTTATTACCTAACCTACTATATAATTTCTTAAAGTAATGATATCGACATAATAATCAATGGCTTTTAAAATACATCGACAAATGTTTGTACATGTATTATTTTTTAAAAACAAACTAAACAAGATGAATATTAATCAAATTCTCACACCGATTGGTGTTCAGAAAAATTAATGGATGTGATATTATCATGCACTAATAAATTGAAAGAAAACATGTAGTAAACAACATAATGATGTCTTGAAGATTTGAATATTGCACGTGTATGGCAAAGAACTATACTGAGTGAAAGGGGCCTACATTTTTCCCAAATTACCCCCAGAAAAGGTGTTCATGGTCTCTTCTTCGAAATGATATTAAATTGATTATATATCAGGATTACTTTTCAGATGATAATTTCAAATTGAATGAAAATGGTTTAATTAATACATAATTCAATATTAAAGCTGTAAAGTACAGGGAATTAATTATGACGTCATAATGGAACAGTTCAGCCATGCAACAGTTCATTCTGTGACCGGGTAAACAGTTTTGACTGTTTCATGATTTGCAAAAACATTAAAAAGAATCAGGAAACAGTTCAAAATGCCTAATTACAATTTATATAGTAGGTTAGGTAATAACACCTACTGCTACCGGTAAATATATGACATAACAGCACAAACCGTGAAACCCCTTGCAAAAGAGCAGTACCGCAGTAAATTCTGTTCTGTGAAAATGATAATTCAAGATTGTAGAGATTGTACAAATTTTCTTAAGAATTACAAATTAGTCATTAAAGATTCAATGAGAAAGATCTGATAATTGCCATATTGCATCATCGTTTCAAGATCAACTGGGTATTTAGTTTGCATGTAGGCATAATGTTTTTCACAAATTCATGCAAACATCTATGCGTACATACTCTTAGTTAGATAAATAAGTCTGCATAACATGAATAATTGCCGTATTTACACAAAAAGTTCTACCGTACTCCGAAGACCGTTCAAGACGTAGTCTACCAAAGCATTTGGCACTATTTGGAAGGCCGATCCCGATGAGAAATATACCACAAATTATATTCTTCCGTTCGTTTCATTCATTCATTCATTCATTCATTCATTTATTTATTTATTTATTTATTTATTTATTTATTTATTTATTTATGACCCAAAGTTCTTGAATAGAATATAGAAATATTTTTACCCAGCTTTCAATTTATTTGTGTCTAAACTCTTTTTGGTTATACTAAAAATATAAAAGCTAGAGTTCTGCACCTAATTTTCTATACATTGAAATCTGTCTTTAACCTTCTGTTACATACTAATAAGAGGTCAGAGTGGCGGGTCTTCATGGGAATTCAACAGAATATAAATTTGGAATAGTTCTGTAACACAGTATTATATATATAGACACTCTGCCTAAATATAAATAGATAATAAATAAACTCATCATTAACATGACTATAATGACTACTGTAGTTATATTTTCCAAATTCTTATAATGTTATAAACAACAAAATTGATATTAAATAAAAAGAGGCATTTCAGAATAAAGTGAGACATCTCAGAATATCATAAAGAAAGACTGCAGTTATACAACTGTTGTCTCTGTAGTATTTATAGATTATAAATCTACAAGTCTACATGGAATAGCGAGTGAAGGATATACATGTAATTAAAGGTGAGAAAATCTTTTTTATCCAGAACATAATATTTAAGGTATAGATATATCTATATTAAATGACCAAAAAAAAAATTATTAAAAAAAAAACCCAAAAAAAAAGAACAAAGAAAGAAATGCACAACTAACCCAAAATACGAATGTAAATAAATCAAACAAAACTGAAAAAATCGAAAGTTGCGATGCTTTATATTTTTACATTCATCACAAAATTCATAATTTTCATAATTAAATTTAATTTAAACAAACACAGATCTAGAAGTGAATGGGATTGGGCAGCAGGCTCAGCCTATTTTAGCCCTCTCCCTATTAAATGAAAAATAACGACTGTAATACTGTGAATGCACAGATGATCATGTCTGTGATCATTTTCTACCATCAGCTCACCTTGTCGTTGGCTCGCGTATATCACAGTGATAAGCACGACAAATAGTGCGTTTGTTTTAATTCATTATAATTAAATGCATAAGCTAATGATAGTTCTTATAGATAGATATTTACTAAATAGATATAAAACTATTAGTTTAATTTGAAATAATCCTTGAAGTGTTATGTTTTTACGTTACGTCAAAAATCTTGACCAGGCCCATTGCAGAGGTGTCTGAGAAGAACGAACGACAACTCTGCATAGGAGATTGGTCTGTGACATCACTCAAAAGAATTCGATCTTATGGAAACCACTTCTTTTATCAATCAGTAAACGCCGGTAAACTATTTGGAAGCGGGTTTTTAAAGCCACCTGTATAGATTTTGTTTTCAATCAATAAGATATACAATGATACGAAAGCCTATTAGGATCAAACTACGGTAAAAAAAAAATTTAAAAGGCGTAATAACGCCTTTCGAAAAGGCGTCATAACGCGGAAAAAGGCGTAATAACGCAAATAAAGGCGTAATTACGCCTTTCCAAAAGGAGTTATAACACGAAAAAAAGGCGTTATTACGCCTTTTCAAAAGGCGTTATCACGCCTTTCCAAAAGGCGTTATTTTAGGAATGACTCTAATTCTTGGCCAAATTATTCGAGTATAACCTGGTTTGGGTCAGTTTACGCTTTATAATCCGCGAAGCGGATTATAAAACAGCGTAAACTGACCCAAACCAGGTTAAACTCGAATAATTTGGCCAAAAATTAGAGTCATTCCTTATAATTTAATTTTAAAATCATTAAATAAATATGGGTGTAAAATTTCGTTGCTTTTTATTAGTTCAAATTTGCCGCTCAATAATACAACCGTAGTAACGGAAGTAACGGAAGTGATGGGAAGCGAGGGGAGGTAAAAACTGATACATAGGCCTAGCAGCTTGTTTACATGTGGTAAGATCGAATTATTGTTTGAAGTTAAAGGTATATTTATTAAATCTGGAATTTTCCATGAATCCCGAGGACTGGAAATGAGAGGATTGTATGCATACAGATGATTGAGCTGGTTGTCAGGGGGGTGTGTCCCCATACCAAACCAGGTTATACAGAAATAATTTGTGTTCCTTTTTGGATATTAACCAATCAGAGGCTAGAATACAAACAAAATTAAATTATTAGGCGTTATTACGCCTTTGAAAAAGGCGTTATTACGCCTTTTTAAAAGGCATTAATACGCCTTTCAAAAAGGCGTTATATTATGTCTTTTGAAGGGCCATTATTATGTCTTTGACAGGCCCGTGCTTTTAAAGTGGGGGGGGGGGGTTCCATAAAATTGACAAGCAAACAAAAAAAAAAGACCCCCCCCCCCGAAAAAAAAAATAAACTGCCTAAACTTGAGGGGAAACTTTTTCTAATTTTTCGGTAAAACTTTTTTTAAATGCAATGACTTGCCCGAGTTTAACCATACTGCAACAAAATGTTAAGGGACCAAGCAATCAATAAATGATATTTTATATTTAAACTATAGCAAGACTATTCTCCCAAAAAGTGGGGTGGGGACCCCCCCCCCCCCTCACATTCGTACTACCGGCCTGTTTGAAAAGGAGTTGTATCCAAAAATGGAAAGGCGTTATTTTAAAATAGTAAATATATGAAAGATTGAACCAAAGCCATCTTTATTTATGCAATATTTAGATTATAGTTTTAATATTATAAATTATATTATAAATTAATTATAGTATTTTCTATATTCCTGCACATCTCGCAGACAGTTGTTTGCATTTTGCATGCATATTAAGAGAAGTCAACACTCTACTTTTGAAAATCAAGGATATAGGCAGAACCAGCTTTGAGCTTTGCAAGCCACGTATCAAAAATTCATGTCAAATTTGAAATATTTTTCTCTCCTCTTGGTAAAAAAACAGGCAAAGTATTTGCATAGGTATAATGAGCAATTAGCCTTCAACAAAATTTCTGAAATCCATACACCTTAATTGGTAGAAGCGTCTGGCATCAGAGAAGGACTAAGTTGGTTTAACACTGAAAATATTTTACACATTTAAAAATCTTTTTTCCTAGAAATCTAATTATAATTTAATTTTGTTTGTATTCTAGCCTCTGATTGGTTAATATCTAAAAAGGAACACAAATTATTTCTGTATAACCTGGTTTGGTATGGGGACACACCCCCCTGACAACCAGCTGAATCAATCCTCTCATTTCCAGTCCTCGGGATTCATGGAAAATTCCAGATTTAAAAAAGTACTTTTAATTTCAAAGAATAATTCGATCTTACCACATGTAAACAACCAACATGGCTGCTAGGCCTATGTATCAGTTTTTACCTCCCCTAGATTCCCATCACTTCCGTTACTTCCGTTACTACGGTTGTATTATTGAGCGGCAAATTTGAACTTATAAAAAGTAACGAAATTTTACATCCATAGTTATTTAATGATTTTAAAATTAAATTATAAGAAATGACTCTAATTCTTGGCCAAATTATTCGAGTATAACCTGGTTTGGGTCAGTTTACGCTGTTTTATAATCCGCTTCGCGGATTATAAAGCGTAAACTGACCCAAACCAGGTTATACTCGAATAATTTGGCCAAGAATTAGAGTCATTCCTAAAATAATCAGCCCCCAGGGTGGGCTAAGTAAGTCATGTATTGAAAAAAAGAGACTTAATAACGCCTTTTGGAAAGGCGTAATAACGCCATTTTAAAAGGCGTAATAACGCCTTTTGGAAAGGCCTAATAAAACCTTTTGGAAAGGCGTAATAACACCTTTTGGAAAGGCATAATAACGCCTTTTATAAAGGCGTAATAACGCCTTTTGGAAAGGCGTAATAACGCCTTTTATAAAGGCGTAATAACGCCTTTTATAAAGGCGTAATAACGCTTTTTGGAAAGGCGTAATAAAACCTTTTGGAAAGGCGTAATAACACCTTTTGGAAAGGCGTAATAACGCCTTTGAGAAAGGCGTAATAACGCCTTTTGGAAAGGCGTAATAACGCCTTTTGGAAAGGCGTAATAAAACCTTTTGGAAAGGCGTAATAACACCTTTTGGAAAGGCGTAATGGAAAGGCGTAATTACGCCTTTTTTCGCGTTATAACGCCTTTATTTGCGTTATTACGCCTTTTTCCGCGTTATAACGCCTTTCGAAAAGGCTTTATAACGCCTTTAAATTTTTTTTTTACCGTAGTTTGATCCTAATAGGCTTTCGTAGTAATATAATGAGTTCATGATATCTTCAAAAAATAAAATAGTCTTTAATTATTTGAGTTTATTTTAATTTTGAGCTCCATGAATAAAGGTGTGTCCCTAAATCATTGCCTCTCACATGTCCCATCCCTCATCATTTTTCAAACAATTTAAATGCGCACCCGCTCTTTTTTTTTTTTTTTTTTTTTTTTTGTTATTTATAAAAACTATTTTAGTCTCTCTCTCTCTCTCTCTCTCTCTCCCTCTCTCTCTCTCTCACCTTTTCACAGTTTTCACGCTCTATTGACCAGCATTGGTCACGTGAGCTGACCCTGAGTGAGAATTCGTCACACTGATATTAGAGTCTAACTCGAATAGCAGTGATTTGCATTTGCTTTTGCAAAAGCCTTCCAAGCAATCTATCAAAGCATTCTTTCATCATCAAAGACACAGAAGAAGATTACTTCAGACTGAGGTAAGTTGATTTTTGTTGTAATCATTATTTTTGTTTTTACTTTATACAATGTTTTTGTTGAAAACGTGATCATCGGTGAGTACTCGATTGTTCCCGCCGCCATTTCAGGTCACTGTCTAATATTAGACTTTTGCGAGAAGCACTGACTTTTACAGTCTACGGCTTACTTTGACATTTAAACCTGCCTTATGTACGGAGGTACGGTTTTGACAATAGACAAGAAAGTCTTAATAGTGGTTATAGGTATGGTGTTAGGGGCACTAACATGATTTACCGGCATGCAATCAACACAAGAGGTGATGGGATTCAGA